TCAGCTAATGGCAAACCTGGGCTCAAGATGAAGACGGAAGGTCCGAGAGACTGCAGCGCTCACGTCGGAAGTGGGAACTCAACTGCGGCACGGTGAAGGAAACAGCGGTCGGGAAACGACCGTTGCTCTTTGCACCGGCAATGCACCAATGGGAAGAGGACCCCGACCTGACGTCACTCGTGCAATATCGCCCGGGGGGAGGAACTGTCACCGATTTCACATCCGGTTAGAAACGCGGAGGCCCAGCTTCCACCCCCGCAGGGCCACAACGATCGAAGGACAGCGGGATCACGTGATCCATGACGTCACGACGCGACTCGGTCTGGGTCCAAGTCCATCCACCGTGGCCCGACTCTTTGTGCGGGATTCTAACGAGTTGCTTTGTCACTCTAAACTGCCATTTCCAGAAACCACACGATTTAGTGTTTTAGTAGCAAATTAAACCGTATGTATTTAGAATATTTAAAGAGGGCATTTTGATGATGACATTCATTCCTAAAATATTGATTCCAAAATTGCTTAGTTTCGTGAAAATGGTTGGCTTTGCCTCAAAACCCATGGCCCCTCGCATTGAAAATGTGTAGAGAAAATAATTGATGTGCAGAGATACGTATATATATATTTAATCTGCGCGGAAATAGTATGCATATGACCAAGTACGAAGGTACGTAAGTAGTAGTACATTATTGCATTCCACATCGAGCCGGATCGGGAAGGTAGAAGAATGGTGCTTCCTTTTTGTGATCGTCGAACAGCTTCAAAACGCTTAGGGTGACATCAGCAGTGAACGAAAGAGGCCGGATCGATCGCGAAGCTCTTGGACAGAGACAATGTGATTCCCCATGGCTGCTAGTGAACTATTAGTGAACTGGCTCCAGACAGAGTCGTGACGTCACGGATCACGTGATCCCGCTGTCGTCGACCGTTGTGGCCCTGCGGGGGTGGAAGCTGAGCCTCCGCCTTTCCAACCGGATTTGAAATCGGTGACAGTTCCTCCCCCTGGGCGATATTGCACGAGTGACGTCAGGTCGGGGTCCTCTTCCCATTGGTGCATTGCCAGTGCAAAGAGCAACGGTCGTTTCCCAACCGCTGTTTCCTTCACCGTGCCGCAGTTGAGTTCCCACTTCCGACGTGAGCGTTGCAGTCTCTCGGACCTTCCGTCTTCATCTTGAGCCCAGGTTTGCCATTAGCTGACAGTATTTGTGTATTATGTCGCATAAAAATGAGGATAAACTAAAAATTTAATTTGTCGATTAATTGAATGTTAATCGATCCCGAGTTTCCTCTAAGACATTGGATCTATGAGTTGGAATTTTCTTATCTCCCCTCAAGTACAGCAAATATGCTAACAAAATCGGAATAGGATCAGCAATCGCTTTTTCCTGCTTTCCCCCTCTTTCTCAGACATGATTAAATCCATCCATTTCTATCACTTGTGCTGATATTGAGCACTTTTGACTGTCGTTTGCCCCTTCCATCTTCCAAAAAAAGGACGATTTCACTTGAGTGCCCTTGACGATGTACGGGAGGGCCGGAAGGTTTTGTCACCCCTGCAGCGATTTCTTAAAGTCTGGATTATTACATCACGAGACCTCGAAGTCCCAGCTTCATACTTTAGACTTCTATTGCATACTCACGCTTAATAATTTCAGGATATTTTTATTTTCAAGGCGTGAATTTACACTCGGAGAAACTCTCGCAACACCTTAAACTTGAAGAATTATTTGATTCATGCTTTTTTTTCTTGATTGAGGGATATTTTAAAGTTTAACTGGTAACCATTCGTCTCCCCTCTCCAACCGCTTCCACATCAATTTTCTGGTTCAAAGGTTTTTCTCTTTTCTTTTTGTTGTGAGGCAGATGAGCCAAATTTCGCACAAGGAAATTCAAAGGGCGCGAATTTACCAGAAAGCGTTGTTATCCAACTTACGAAATTTCAATTGTCTACGAATGGAAAGTCCCAGAAAAGAAGTTGAGCAACTCAATTTGCTCGACGAGATGCGAATTATCTTGCATCGCGTATCTTTTGTCAACGCAGAACTGCATATCGGACACGGTAGCTTCCATGCTCCACCCAATTTCACGTTGAGGTGACTCCTGAAAGCGAAGGAGGAGTTGGATACGACCGCCGAGATCGGCTCCGACGCTCTCGAGGGGATCAAGCCTGCTACAAGGAACTCATCGTGCCTGAGAGCATTCCCGCAAGGTGGTGAAGCGCATCATGGGTGAGACTGCCGGACGGCTGAAGAATGGGAGGCCAGCGGGAATAGGGCTCGGTCAGGACAACTCTGGGGTACCTTGTTTCCAAGTCCTCTTCACATCACCTGGTGGTCCTCGCAGATATCATTTCTATCAGATTTAAGTGTTGAGGATAACACGCCTTTTTTTGCCGTTTTCTCCGCTTTCGTCACGTTCACTCACGTCCATCTAGAGAAGGAAAAATTACTTAAGACGGTCTACGATTTGGCTCTCAATGGGAATTGGTTCAAGCTAAGAAAAAAAAATTCAATGTTGCTGTCCTTGATTAAAAAAGTTTATTCTAAAAAAAGGCCACCCAAATGGTCATCAGTGGCATTACCATGTCAATGTGATGATAAGGATGTCATGGAAAGAGCACGATTGAATGTCCCGGGTTCGGTAGTGTAATGGTAGCACACCTGACCGGCAATTAGGAGGTCGGGGTTCAATTCCCGGACGTCCCCTGGCTTTCTTTCATCACACTGCCATCCAGGCAGTGTGATGAAAGCAGGCAAAAAACTGAAAGCAGGCAAGGCTGGCTCTCACAGTCGTGGGAAGGTCCTTTGGTAGAAGGCCTGCAATTGCGGTCACATGCCGCTAGTACTTATATGATACGCTTGCTAACGTCTTTTTGGACGACGTGGATTAGTCTCGTTAATTTGGAATCCTAATAAATATTTTCCAGCCACCTATTCCACCATGTACAGGGTGGTCCACAATTGTCTCCCCAAAAGTAAAAGCTCATTACTCAGAAAGTATACATCCAAATTCAATGATATATTACTCAAACGATAGCCAATTCAATATTTTTTATTGTGGAAAAGTTAAGCATTCTATTAAAAAAAAAACTAGAACAAAGTTACATCCTTACAAATGAAAGCCGCCAAATCATCAGTGTTCAATATGACTTCCACAGTTGTCAATGACTTGGTGCGGTCGTTCTTTGAATGCCAGCAGAATTCTTTCAATCATCTCTGGTCCTACTGTGGTGAAGGCATTTCTGATGGCGTGTTTCAGCTTATCTAAGTTTTCAGAAGTCCGCCGATGAATCTCTTCAGGCTCAGAAACCTCTTATGAATTGCCTTCATGATCTCATCCAGAACAGAGGCATCCACCCAAACTGAAGAAATTTCAAAAATGTTCCCCACGCAAATTTGCTCTTCAATTATCAAACTAAATAGCAGTATTCGTCTTCTACAGGATACCGAGGTCACCCATGACAGACAATCCCTCACGATGCATGAAAAACCCACAATTCCAATTCCCGGCCGTCCCCTGGCTTTCTTTCGTCATCACATTGCCATCCAGCCTTGCCTGCCTTCAGTTCTTCACGTTACATCAATATTTGGTCGAGCCGTTGCTGTTAGAGGACGCCCTAATCAGATCGCGTCTTCGAAGTTATTTTTCCCTGAAAGAGTCAGCATCAATTGAACACCTAGATGGCTTGATGGGAAATTATCCTGAAAAGGAAAACCTTGAAAGGAAAGGTCGTTACAGTCGTGGGAAATCTTGGCATGATAATGGATCAGTCCGGCCACGCGCAGAAATTCCTATTCGTTGAATGTTCCTTTCTGCTTTCACTCCAAAGTTCTCCAAAATCACTAAATGCCCAGATAACTAGACGAAACTTGCAGGAGCAACCCATAAGTTCCTTAAACGAATGAGTGCATATGAATTCATTTACACCAGAGGAAAGTCTAAAAACTTTGAGTCATCCTCGTGCGTCGGCCTCATCCACCGCCTCGTGTTCGTCGTACAACGTGCATAATACCGAGTAAAATCTTAGCTTGAAAACACCTGCTCGATGTTCAGCAAATGCAACTCTCACTTTGCCAATCCAGCTCGATGTGGAATGCGATGATGTACTTTAACTAGAATGATGTAAATCAGCTTCTGGCTAATGGAGGTTTCCACTAGCAGTTCGGCGATGAACGAAGCATGCACGTGGCTGTGTTGCAGGCCGGGACGAAACTCGCAAGAGGAGCAAAGGCGGGGAACAACGCTCAGAAAGTTCTGAAGCCGATTTCAATCATCTACATTACGTATAAATTTGGACGCTCCATCTACGAGGACGCGAAGTATTCCACGACCAGGAACTCGGTCGAAACGGCTGCGTCTTTCGGCGGCGGATGGGGAGGTATTTCTCGACATCGTACGATCGTCTCTTCCCATCGTACTTCGTTTGGGTTCCTCCCCATGAAATTTTTACTGTATTTCGTTCTTCTCTCGACTAGTTCTCGAAATACCTTTAACGCTTTGTATCCCTGTATCCACGCATGGGACAAGCTTCTATGAATTTCCGCAGTTTTCTGTAGATTTACCACTGCTTTCATGAAAGGCATTTTAATACACATTGTCCCAGGTTGCACGTGAATGTGTAATCGAATTTCAGCAAAATGTTTGGCACCAGACAATTGGCAAAACTACATGATATCAAGAGTTCACAGAACCACCTAAGCAATCGGCAGTGAAATTAATGCTATTCTCAGAGAATCTGAGTAGTTCATTGCCCTTCTTTTCGCGGAAACAATAATAACATTCAGCTGAACTGAATTTTCACGCACTACCTTTTGCCGCATGCGTGCCATGTCGGCACGGATTTATTGAAAATAGCTTTTAGCTCAATAGTGAATTGTCATTGCAAGGGGCCTTCGTTTTCGAGGTGAAACTATCATTTTAATGAAATTATGCGAATCTAGATTCAATATTTCAGGTGTGAAGATCATAATCAAAATCCTATCCCATCCCGACAACTACTGCAGGCGCTGCATTGGGCTCACTCTTATTTCCTGGTGTGGGCACGACCGTTGGCGGAATGATTGGAGTAATAGCCAGCGTCATTGGCAGAAGTGTAGCGGAGAAAGTGGTGGAGGCGATCGGCGACGAGTGCGACTACGGCATCGAAGAAGTGATGTGCAAAAACTGCGAAGAGAAGTTTAAATGCCGCACATATAAGGGACAGAACCGCGCTCACTGTCCTACCTGTTGGAAGAAGTTGCAGGTGGGATGATTGCGACGAGGGCGACAATGAACGGGTTTATGTGATAGAACTGAAAGAATAAAGCAGTCTCTACTCTGCACTTTTTCTGGCTTGCTCAACAGATCGAGACCGATAGACGATCCGCATACGACCGGCTTCTTTCGCAGAGAAAAGAAACACTGATGGAACTCACCAGATGGGAGGAGCAGAATCTCGATGACGATTGTCTTCTTCGGAGCGGATTTACGTCCCCTTCTGACGGCTCGAGGCTCGAGCTTTGCCCCTTGCCGCAGATGCTGCTGCTCTCGTTCGCAGTAAGTATGAATAACGGAGGAAAATGATTAAACATGTAACCCAGATGATAAAATATGACTACTATTCAAGAGCCTTAATGCATAATTGTATCTCAAAGCGAGTTGAAATTCGGTTCCTATAGGAACCTGCACAAAGTCTGGAATTTTCACTTGAAACTTTGGAGCGGAATGGAAAATTCGTCATTCTTACCCAAAAAAATTCCCATACTTTGTACGCCGAAAATCCAATTACTCTTCTCAAAGAGCAACATGTCAAGTTCAGCCCTCCCCTCCGAATCCGAAAAATGAATGAGCGTGTAACAAACATTCCTACTTTCAGCCTTCGAAAGTAATGAAGCCATTGCCCTGACCTCCCTCACTGAAGGGACCTCCCTGTCTTCCACTTTTTCGAGCTCCACCTCGCCCATCGGACCCTGACCCACGACGGGTTGGAGTGGACCCCGTGCTAGAGTTGGAGGAAAGCCGACTTGGAGGTGATCGCCTCGACCGTGAAGTTCGAGCGCGGGAATCTGTCGCTGGCAGAGCGGAAGAACGACACATAGTCGCTGATCGAGATCATAAAAAAATGCGCCTTGGATTCGCAGTACCCTTCGCGACACTAGGACGTCCTAGGCTGTGTGGCGGACGGGATGGAGCTCGTGTGGCTCAATCCTCGTGGGTCTTCGAGATTCGGAGTCTCCGAGGGTTCGGTGACTTGGATTCGAACTATGTGCTGGAACCTGCGCCTGGAAAAAGAAGCCGTCTGACTCGAGTGCTACCTTGGTGTCATCTATTTTGAACAAAGAACTGATGAACCTTTTTTTTTTTTACAATGAGTCGAACAATCCAGGTCTTTTAAATCGTTAGACCTTGAATTCTTAGTTCGTTACTTCTGACTTTTTCACCATGCTCACATTTAATAATTCCAGGATATATTTAGTATTTTCTAGAGATCGACCGATATACAGTACACTAAGGTGCAAAAGTCTTTGCCCCCAGTTTTTGAAGTATTTCTCAGGGTGGATGGGATGGATATCAAAATCAATTTTATTCACAGATAAGGCATGGGACAAGGTACGAAACTATCACAATTAATAGTTGATCCTCTCGAGTCAATCAAAACCAAACATCGCGCTTTCGTCGACTCGACCAAATGATTTAGAGTGGCCAAATCGATTCTGTCCCATTCTTCGTGCAGAAATCTGTCCAGCGCGTCGAGATTTCATGGTTTCCGCTCCTCGACACAAGCTGTTCGACACAACGAGGATCGATCGGATGGACGCCGGGTCGGCCAGTCGATCGACTCGGGTACTTCCTCGAGTCACTCGACTCCTGTGCTGGGATCGTTGTCTTGCTGCAGTCGCCAGCGTCGACCGAACTGCCTTCTGGCGCTACGGCGGAGGGGATCTCGAAGGATTCGAATGTAGTAAGGGCCATCCATAATTCTTTGGAATGACGGCCGACCAGGCCCACGACACTGAAGCCGCCCCACACCATGATCTTCTGTCTGTTTGGGATTCGCTCGACCTCGCCTCTTGTATTCTTTTAATATCGACAAATCGCGTTTCCGAGTAATTGATTATGTCTTATATATCTATATATCTCGCCCGTGAATACCGTTCGGCTCCAATCGTCGTTCTGTTGAATTGCCCACTGGACGCACGCATGTGTCAACATTGGCGTCGCATGGGGCAAAGTACTGTACTCTTGTAGTCCGTCGGTTTGAGCTGGCGTCGTATCGTCCATCGGGACACGTGCCGACCTCGATTCTGAAGCAACTTTAACGCCAGTTCTTTCGCCATTGCCTCATGGTTTCGTCGAATCCACTGTTCGAGTGCCTTGTCGGCGGCGGTGATCTTGCGGCGTCGGCGTTCTTTGATCTTGGCAATACTGTACTCGACAGTCCGAACGGGGATCTTCGTCAGACGAGCAATCGTGGCAGGAGATCGATGGCCGTTGTTCCAGAAGTGTAAAATAGTTGATCGCTTCGTTTTCGGCGAAGTAGAATTTCGATGTCGAGGCATTCTCTCCAAACTCAAAAGAACGTTTACCTCGATTTGCGGTTTTCACACCTATATATAGACCTTTCCTCACCTTTTAGAAATCGAGAAAGTCCTCGAAAAATCTCTCCAGAAATTTTCAGAGATATGCTTCCAGAATGTCGGCTTATGCGAGTGGCAAGGACTCTTGCACCTTAGTGTATCTGACCGTCCGCCCCCAAAATCGGACCGGTTCAGTGATGCCTGCGAGTCGGAGCTTCATTTCTCGTAACAATGAGCCCTCCGGCCTCCGAGGCTGGCTCATCCGATGAGAACTTTGGTACTCCCGAGCGAGCATCGACGCGACTAGACAATACATAATGAGTGACATAAAGGTAGAAGCGATAAAAGCATTCACCGGTCGATCGAGCATCGCAATGGTCACCGGTGTCTTAGTTCCAATCGCGCCGATAAAGAAGGAAAAAACAATAGACCGAGAGAGTACTCGCATATAAGTCTTAAATGGTCGTCGTCGGCGAGGGAGGTCAGGCCTCAAAAATTCTTTGGAGACACTTTCCTATAAAACTTGGAAATATCCATTAAGATATCAAATATCTGAAAGAAATCTCTCACGACCATCGGAATCAATCTCAATGAGTGCAAAACGAGCGAAGTCCGGTCTCTGACTCCTGCCCAGAAGCGTATTTTTGGGGCAGGGGAGGGGGGGGGGGGGGGGGGGGGGGGTGTGGGGTTCGTAGACATTGGGAGAGATATGCATTAGATCGAGTCATCCCGACCCGATCAAAAATTAAACGCTTTAGCTTATGCTTTCCGGTATATTTCCTCACCATTCCATGTTCCCATGTCAAACAGGAGGTTGTCTATTGTCGATTGCATGAGAGATTTTCTTGGAAGTAATAATTATCTCCCCTGGTATGGCTCGGGTAGGGTTTGGCGTCCCCATTATGCTGCCCTGCCCCCCTGACTCTTCAGCCAAAATACGCCATTGCTCCTGTCCAAAATTACGGGTGGGAGGCCAGAGCCTGGGAACCCCTGGACCCATGAGGGTATCACCAGAGACATGGTAAATATAACTGGACAGGCCAATGGAAAACGCCAGGCAGCCACTCGCCGATTAGAAGGGTCAGCCGCCATCGCTCATGACGTCAAGTCGACCAATAAACGCAAAGCTTTCCAATTCATGTCGTCACACTAGTTTTGACGCTCTCCGCCTAGGCCTAGTCGTTTTTGAGGAAGAGTGAGCAGTGCGAAAACGACTTACCTTCTGTGAGCCATCATTGCATTTCATTCAATTGATAGAGCGTTCGTTTTCGGTTGTTTTGCAAAACTATGAACTACACAGTAAAATTATAAGAGAAAAAAAAAAGAGGCATTCACAGGGAGATTAGGAGGTCGATTAAAATGCGATTCATTTTGACTAATTTTTAAAATCGCGATTAATCGATTAAAGTATAAAAGGGGGAGACTACTGTCCAACCTGTTCCAAGAAATTGCAGGGGTGATGATCGCGACAAGGCGATATGGGACGAGTTGGAGTGCTGGCGACCGAAAAAAAATAAAACTATTGTAATCTTTACTTTCAATGTCTGCACTTTTTTCTGGCTTACTCGTCGGTCGACCGATGTTGGTTGCGGGTTGATGTAGATCTGCATTCAATAGTTGTTAACGGAAGACGACCGAATTCTCTCGCAGAATAAGCAATTACTAATGGATGTCACCAGGTGGAGCTAAATACATCATAAATACATTTTACGGCGTGAAAGTGAAACTTGTCATCCGGTCATTCCCGACACTGGCACACGAGACCATGGAAATCATGAATAACGCTAAAGAGATTACTAGCACATGCATCTCACCGTCCGCTCTCGGCGTCGAACTGGTCCGGCGATACCTGCAGGTTCGAGTGGCATTTTTTTTCCGGTGGGGAGAAATCGGTGGCTGGCAGAGCGGACGGAAGACACCGCGTTGCTGATTGAGATCATCCAGCGTCGCTGATCGTGATCATCCGCTAGTGCGTCTTGAATCCAGAGTACCCTTCGTGCGCAGTCCAGGACTTCAGCCCAGGACTTGGAAGTCCTGGGTTGCGTGACCGAAGGGGATGGGAATCGCGTGGCTCGATCCTTGCGGGTTCGTCGAGATCCGGAGTCTCCACGAACGATCTCGATTGGGAAGTGCTTCGAGGAAAATGAATGACTGTGCTCTTTCCTTGCCCGCTTTGCATGGGTGAAACTGAGACATTTCTGAATAGCGTATGCAACGTGTCGGAAAATGTTAACGTTATGCACGGGCTGGGCCGTGTACGAATACGTTTTTCCTCCCGTCCTAAGTCCATTGAGTAGAGATTAGAAAATTTTGAAGCTGATACTAAATCCTCCCCCCCCCCCCCCCCCCCTTCCCCCCCCCCCCCCTGAGATTAGAAAATTTTTGAGCGGATACTAAATCCCCCCCCCCCCCCCCCCCTCCCTACCTCTTCTCCCTCAGCTATAAGGACAAAAGGGTTAAGGGTTGTCTCAGGGTTTCGTTAAACTCGTGAATCGAAGACGCACCTCGAATATTCCGATTGGGGGAGGATCAGACAGGAAGTGTGAAGGGTCAGTCACCTCACAAATTTCCACTATTGAACTCGAGCAATATTACTAGCTCGACGAAATGCGAATCCCTGAATTGGAGCGTTTCGTTTCGTTCCCCGACGCGGAATCTCGTATCGGACGTGCGAACCGCTTGGTCCTAGGCCTTGGAGGGGATCGATCCTGCAGCGAGCAGCTAGCTACGAGATCGTCTTGACAAAAAATGTTTCGGAAAAGGGAAATGAGGTGAATCGTGGATAAGACGGCGGAACCGACAAGCAATGGAAAGCCAACGGGGAAATGGATCCTATCCTCATAGACGTACCACCCCTGGGGAACTGAAGTAGAACCCTGCACGGGTTGACCCCAGAATACCCGACCCAATAGGCCGGATTAGAGTCATGGCCCCCACCAGACCCGAAACCCGAACTCGAACCCAACTTCACGACCCGACCCATCCCGACCCGATCAAAAATTAAACGCTTTAGCTTATGCTTTCCGGTATATTTCCTCACCATTCCATGTTCCCATGTCAAACAGGAGGTTGTCTATTGTCGATTGCATGAGAGATTTTCTTGGAAGAGAAAGAGCCATACAGATACCAGTCTTGAGCGGCACAAACTGCCAAATGCCCGTTTTAACTTCTTCCTTCCTTCGTTTATATTCATGGTCACGCAATTTAGAACTTTCCACTCTCGGATTACATGCATAAATATGATTTGAGCCATGACACGGAGTTTCCATGGTCTTAGATCGGAAGAACGATAACATTTAAATATTAAAATCAATGGCGTAGCCAGGGTTTCGCCAATGGGGGGGGGGGGGCTTACTTCTCCTCGTCCGGAGGGGGGAGGGGGAGGGGGGGCGGATGCATTTAGACCGGAGTTGGGGGGCTGAAGACCCCCCCTCGCTACGCCACTGATTAAATTCGGCCCGAGCCGACCCGACCCGAAGAAGAATCGTGAAAAATTCGGACCTAGACGACCCGTGGGTCGGGGCGATCGGGCCCTTGCAGGGCTCTAAACTGAAGGCGTGTCGCTCCCATATCGCCTGTATCACGATGGGCATGAACGCCTCCAAGGTTACTCTTCCGTGGACGACAAATCCACTGGCCTCTGGTGATCATTGCAGGCCTCATTCCCTCGGAGCTAATTATTGGCGGTGACACGACTTATTGTCATGGCTTTCGCCGTTTTGTTCGATCCCAGTTAATGCTCGCCTCATCATCGTTAACAGATCCGAGTGTGATCAAATAACGATCGCCTTCCCGAGCGGATTCAACAATTATTTCTCCATCGAGGGCTCCAGTTTTAATCCGGTCGTGAGCGGATCCGGCAAACGGCACGATCGACGCTCGAAATTATGTGTGGAAATCCAGACCATAAAACTAATTGTAGGCCAGACGACAAGATCCGATGAATCCATTGCAACCGGTAATGCCTCACGTCGGTGGAACACGTGTGGATCCACATGAAGAACTAAGGAATCTTCTCCAAGCACACTCCACGTCAGGTTCTAGCGCCACTCGTGCATTCCGTCCGTCCTCGTTCGACGAAGACGAGGCACTGAGCGTCACGACCGGATGGATGGATCAAGGACACTCCCTGCCATCTTGCGTCGGAAGAAGGAACTACGGCATGGCCACGAAATCTCATTGCTAAGGGGCCGATTACTTCCTCGTATTTCGAGGGTGCGGTAGTTGCGGCTTCGCCACGTTATTCATGGATGGAACCCGCTTCTTTCCATTTTCCCAATCCTGTTCGATGCGGAATGCAATTACGTATCTGCAGGATGGAGTCGATCGGCTTCAGACGATTGGGTGTGTCGACTGAAACGGTTTACGCCAGAATGCGACCGCGTTGGAGGTTGGGGCGAAACTCGCAAAAGCAGTCCTCCTGTAAAAAAGCAGTCAAAAGCAGGCAGTCCTCCTGCCGATTTTTCCATCGATGCGGTTCGAGAGAGATGTTCCCTGAAGTCGTTCCGTCTGCAAGAGAAGTCATGCCTGCCGCAGCTTCACGACCACCGTCCTAAGGCAAAGGTTCGTCTGCTCGCCAGTGCAGTTGCGGACAAGGACCATTTGCTTCGAGAACGTTATTCCCTCGCTGCATGCATGGATGCGAAGCAGTTGCCCCAAATCGGGTTACTTACTTCCTGGTTATACGTGGCAATGGGACCGCGAGCATTCTCGATGCAGACCTCATCTATATGATACAAGGTCTACTTTGTGTGCTGCAATGGGCACATCCGTTTTTCCAGAAGTGGGCACGATCGTTGCCGGAAGCATGGGAACCCAGGGGGTTGTGGAGGGAATAGGCGACGAGGTCGACTACGGAATCGAGGAAGTAACGTTCAAAAATTGCAAGTTAGAACACCCCGAGTACAGTGGATAGAATTTCGAATACTGCCCTTTCTGCTTGAACAATCCGCAGTGATGATAGCGACGAGGGTGATAAAAGAACGGATTGCTGCGATGGCCACTGAAAAAAAAAATGCTTTCGATCTCGACGTTTTTCTTTTGTCGTCATACTCCGCAGTCGACTCATTCAGGGATGATGGACGACTTCCATACAATTGTGATGAATGGAAGACGACCGGTTTCTCTCGCTCCATGAAATATTTAAAAATGAAAGTCACTGTATGGAGCTGAATTCATCGATGGAGGCCATTATTATGGCACGATAAGCGCACCCTTTTGTCACCCCGTCAATCCTGACAGACAACTGGACAGACACAAGAGGCGCCCGACCCCTTGGCAGTCATCGTGCTCATCTCAGAAACCCTTCTCCTTCCCCCGATCCCCCCGGCCTTAGCAGCCTTTCTGCTTCCCTGCCCTTGATTCGAGCCAAAAGGCGCTTCTGGCACACACCACCAAAAAAAAAACAAGATGGCCATGCACTACGCCAACCATACGGATCGCGTGCACATGCATCTCGCATACTCTAAGCGACGGCTAGTCCCGCTAAGCCGATAGTTCGACCTCTATGTATTGCCTTATCGATGGGCTCTCGGACTTCGTTTGCGGCGAGATTCACCCATCGGGGGCTTTTTCTTTGCGAAACAACTTTTCGCGCTCAAAAAGGTGCAAATAAGATTCATTAGAAACCAGACAACACCCGAGCACTTATAGGGAACTGCCTGAGCGAAAAGGAAAACTCCGGATCGTTCCTTCCAACTTCTTCTCTTGTTCCAGATTCAACACTGTACATGAAGCAGCATTAATGTAGCATATATCATATACATATCATATATAATCACTTGCAGAGGATAAGGAGATTTGAAACGGAAGAGTCAGTGGAATTGCGACTCAACATTATGAGCAACTACTCAGAGGTCTAAGACGTCATTCATCCACGCTCTCTTACGGTCACAATAACCTGGGAATGTCCTCGATTACGAATCACACTGCTGCAAAAGAGAAGAGAGGGAGAGACAGAGCAAGCATGGACGTGACTAGATGAGAGAGAAAAGAAGTGAAACAACAGCAGAAACAATAACAACATCCACGGCACAGCAGACAGGTCGTGAGAATTATATTGCCCTCATGAGTGGATAGCGTCTTTGGAGGTAAGTTCAGAAGTCACGGCTTGCGTGGACCGACTTTGCGCAGATTCACGGTGCAAATCCATCGCAATCAACGAGGCGGTTGGAGAAACTCAGGATCGAAGTGGGTCTGCGAGTACGTCACGAGAAGAACGACGGATTGGGAGACTGCTTGGCGAGTCGGAGGCTGTCGGCCAAAGCCCAGGCCATCTGTTCGTCTTCCGATGGCAATCCCCGGTCCTTATCTTTCACCTTCACTTTCCCCTTCCCCTTCGCCCTGTCCTTATCTTTACCAGAAGCATGGTTCCAGGCGAGCTCAGATTCCGATTCCGAGGCACCGAGGGGTGACAGCCTGGTCTTGTCCCATGGGGATCCTCCACCCGTGGCATTCCACGGGTCGTTGGCGGTCGAGAAGCCGACTCGCCACACGTCGCTTCCACTACCGGTCCCGCTCCCACTGTCGAAGAACTGCTAGGATCCCCCAACCAACCATAAAACATGTCAGTGCTGTCTCAACCCAACAGCAGCAGCAGCAGCAGCAGCAGAAGCAACATCAGCAGCATTAGGGAAGAAAGGGGAGGGGATGGGAACAGATAGTGGGAAAGCATGAGGGTAAGGAAGGGGATAAAAAGAGAGCAAAAGCACAGAGTTAGTGTTAGCATCAACAATGGACATAGAATTAAGACCGAAGTTGGCTACTCAATTCACCAATCGATGAGGAACAGTGAGAAGAACTTGAGAGTGCAGATAGACCAGGCTCCAGAATACAGAAAATAAAGGTCAAGCTGAGTTGAGAAAGACGGGTGCCAAACATAGGGGAACATGGGAGGAATGAAGGGAAACATTGATCCAAGGAACCAAAACCAGGAATAATCAATCACAAAGCAAAGAATCATTTAAAATGAAACTTGGACTTACCAGGTCTGTCAATCAATTCCTGACCTCACCCACAAACCAAGGATGCACAGATTTTATTTGACTATCAATCTTCAATGTAATGAAGATCACACTCAATGATATGTGTGATCATTTGCCAATGATCACACAACATCTTCATACTGGAATTGTAAAAATATTCTTCTGCCTGTCAAACCATTCTTGCACAGCCTACTTCGGCTCAAAATGTCTGCTTTGAAGATCCTCTTCCAGATTTGCACAGAGTCATTTCCAGACTGTAGACCAAGTACTTGGCTACAACTGACTATTATCTGTTTGCAAACCTGAAAAAGGACCTTCAATAATGGTTTGACAGCAAGAAGAATCTTCTCCAAATCAGGTATTAGAATGTTGCATTATTATTGGCAGCATATTGAAGATTGACAGTAAAATAAAACCTGTGCAGTTTTTTTGTGGGTGAGGCCAAGAACTTATTGACAGACCAGGAATTATAACTAAGGGATATGCACAAATACAACCTCATTCTTTAAGAAAACCAAGGCCACCATCAGGAGCCTGGCAAAAAAATTATCGGTAGGCTATAAAATGTCAAACCCGCAGGAGAAAGGAACGAGCGAGAACTCACCTTATCGAAGCCGGCAAAGTCAGCAAACTGATCGGATGCTGAGGAGCCAGACTTGGAAGGGGCAAAGGGATCAGAGGAGTCAAATGGGTCCTCCTTGGATGCTACAACTTGTCTAGGAGGAGGGGGTTTGGCAGGTGGAGCTGTGTGTTTGGGTGGGGCAGGTCTTGGGGGTGGGGGATTCGACTTCTTGGGGGGCAGTGCCGGGATGGGACTCTCTGGTCGGGGAGGTGGGGCTCCTCTATTCTCGCTTGTCCTAGGAGCAAATGGATCCCCACCAAATCCACCATCCACCTCCTGAATCAAATCATGTGGTATGGACAAGAAAATATGGGAACAATCAGCACCAGACATCAGTAAATTGTCATCTGTGACCATCCAATAGAGACACAGAAGGAAAGCAACAGTACCGAGGGTGTAGCGTGGGCACCAAAGGGATCAAATGAACTGCCACCTGTGGGAAAGCAGAGGGGAAAGAAACATTGAGGCAATGTGGCATTGATGAAAGGCAATGTAGTTAAGGTGAACAGAGCTACTCACCTCCCATAGCAAAGGCATCCTTTCTCCCAGTCTGAGAATGGGAAAAAAAAACACAAGTTCATCCAATGATATGATACAGGCTACATGAATGCATCAATTAAAGCAGAGAAAGCTTACATCAGCTGTAGGAAAGGCAGATGCAAATGGATCACTCCCAGCAAATGGATCTGGAAAACAGGAAATGGTGTTGTAATGCACTACCCACTTATATCACCCATCACTTGTAAGTTCACTACTGCCATTAGTGTATAAGTATAGATGAGGAACTTACAAGCTTTCTCTTCCACTTGTCAGCAGAAAATCAGACCGCAAAAGGGATTAATAATTACATCAGGGGGGGATGCATAGAAAGCAATCATACATGCCAAGCTTATTCATAACTACATGACTTCCAATAATCCAATATAAGTTGTGAAAGCAAATAAGTTGTGAGAAACTTGTAGCTTGGATATAACTAAAGAAGATGAAGGGACAGCAGAAATTACTGATGCACTCTAATCAGATGCACAAGCAGTGCACACTTTTTTAATGCTTTCACATTTTCAAGTACATATGAAGTTCTCATTCTGTTGTGGCCCTGGCTGAAATTGTGCTATCAGACTAGGCAAACATGCTGTCAATGTTTTCCCAATTGGAATTGCTCAAAGTGACATCCCAAGTACTATACCTCCTTTGAAGGGGTCTTCACCACTGAAGGGATCTCCGAATCCATTGGTCTGGCTGAATGGATCTCTTGTCTGAAATGGATCATCCTAGAAGCAAACATGAAATAGAAATTCTTCATTGCCTGCAAGGCACCAATGATCACAATGGTAAATCCAAAGGAGAGATAATGAGAGTCTGAATGAAATTTAAATAATGACATTCCATGACCCTGACAGAATGACCCAGCCCATTGCTCTCAAAATAGTATGCAGGCAAAGATAAATATAATAGAATCAGAACTGCCGGCAGGCTTGATGAGACTCAATTTTAAGTACTGGCCTAAACTGATCTTGTTGATAAATTTTTGATGATGATGAAGCTCTGTCTCAAAGAGCCTTCAGTCCTTCCTCCTATAAAATTTACTCTGCTCTGTGTCCAACACTCATGTCCCAATATAGAACTTAGTCTATGCATTTATTCTATCTGTATTGCAATATGCTCTTCCTGTCTACCGCAGACACCTACAAGAAAAAAGGATTTCTCTCTTCATAAGAATTCTGAAATGTCACAGTTGCCTTCATGGTTTTAGACCTCATGATTTCATAGAGAAATGACAAGCATATCAAGCAGAAGTTTTGATTTTTTTTGAGAAAATTCAAAAATGACTTGGGTTATCCCTTGTCCAAATGTTTACTTCCAAGTAGATAATTTGTCAGCTAAATGAAAGATTGTAAACAATTTTCATTGGGTACAACAGGAACAAATTCCCCAAGAATTTGATGAGCATTGCACATAATTATGACTTCTGATACATTCATGGATGATGAATAGACAAAAAATACATTTTCTGGCAAAAATTGAATGGTTTCCTCAATGTTTCTTGTCACTTTATCCTCTATTTAAAAAAAAACACCAGTCATAATTATGTGAAACTCTTGTCAAGTACTTGGGAATTTTGGCACCCATATACCCTGTAAAAATCCTTTACAGCAAGTCATCACTAAGTGAGACGATAACGAACCCACTATGCAGGGTAGGGAATTTTGTTAAAGTACTTTATGAAAGCATGCATGATAAATAGCATTGACTGCTAAGGGTGATGTCCTTTCTGCTTCTATTCCACATGATGAATATCATATGCATTAGTACAGCACTTCTTATATTATATATCTTATATTACTTACCAGGATCCCATGTTATGGCACCCATGGGATGGGCAATCAAAGGAAAAGAAATTTGCATTAAATTATGCACGGATCCATGATAGAGGTAAGAGAAGTGAGGCAGAAGACCCACCTGCTGTGAGAAGGTTGTGGAAGGAGGAGATGAGGGAGCATGATTGACATGTGAGGTGACATTCAGGGAATCAGGCAGAGGAATATCCCTGAGAAGAGTATCTGGGACTGACAAGGCATCTTCATTGCCCTCAATCACGCTATCATATGCTGCCACAGCTTCTTCCATCTCTCTTTTCTCTGTTTCCAATGTATCAATATTCTCCCTCCCCTGCAAAATAAACAAGTTTCAAGTTGCAAGCCCATTGAACGACTACATATTCTCATGTGCATTGGTCAAAATATGAGCACTACACTGTCACAGGTTAATGTCTAGAAGCACTATTCCCTAAAATATCATTCAGTTATCTATTCATGTCTCCTGAATGTTGTACCAGGCCTGCTGCAGAGTTCCTGTAGTTAATTCTATCAAGTCATGCTCTCATGTTGAACAGACTCCAATTTCAGAAGTCTATGAGCTCTATATATCAGTACTAACAGCAATTGGAACACACCTACAGGCCTGAATGGCCTATTCTAGGCCTAGAATAGCCAACATCAATGAAAATATCGAATTTAAATTATACAGGAAAGAATACAAGAGGTAGAACCTTTTTTCTTCTTCTTAACTTTCACCTATTGACTCATTGTTCTGGTGTTATCTTGATATTCTGTATTAGGTGCATGGTTCTAAATACAGGGTGTTTTTCATTAGCACAACCTCCAAAAAATGGCATAACTTTCTACACACAATAAACCTACCAAATTGAAATTTGGCTTGAACTGAGGTTCAACCATACATGATCCACCTTTATTGCAGCAGATACAGGAATCAATCCCTGTTGTTCTCTATGTACAATTGAACACAGCACTGTAAGTTGTCAAATGTACAGTGAAGTACATCAACAGGAATGTCCAGAATGCTGTTTCTAACATTCTCCTTGAGCTGTGGAATGGTGTGATGTTTATTGCAGAAAACAGTATCCTTCATGTTATCAATGACATTGAACTCACCCAGGGTTACTTTCAGAAAGTTGGAGCCAGCCATACCTCAGAGGAACATGGAGCACATTCAGTTGTTCTTTGAATACAAAATCATAAAAGACTTGTGGTCACCAGTAGCTCTCAAACTCACCATAACTTCTGTTGAGGTTACTTGAAGGTTAATGTTAACCCCAACAATCCTCACAACATTCCACAGTTCAAGAACATTAAAGACAGCACTTGGGACATCCCTGTTGATGTACTATGCCATACTTTTGACAATTTGCAGCATCATGTTCAATTGCACATAGAGAACAACAGGGATCAATTCCAAAATCTAATGCAATGAAAGTGAGTTGTGCATGGTTGAAACTTGATACATCCAAAAAATTCAACTCATTAGCTTTATTATGTAGGAAATTATGCCATTTTTCACAGGTTGTGCTAATAATAAAAAATATCCTGCATTTCTGGACATGTGACCTATTCTACTTAATTCAATGGAGACAACAAGAATTAAGCTTCTCAGATGTATCCATGATGATTCCATTGAAAGGGAAGTGAAAGGGCAGCAGACCTGAGAGAGGAAGACGTCAATGTCGGTCATCTCCTTGGTGATCGCCTCAAGCTGGTTCTTGCAGGAGGAAATGGTGTCCTCAAGTCGTCGTCCCTCCTCATTCACAGCATCCAACTCTGCTTTCTTTCCTTTCAGCTCCTTTTCCTGCTCAAGCAGGGACTTCTCTTGGGTTTCTGCCTGCTCTCTAAGTTTCATCACCTGATCAAGGCAGATGCAACCCCCACTTCCATCAGATGATTGATATTAGAAGGCAAGGCATTTGTCAGAGCAGTTGAGAGGATGCAAGTAATTCAATCAAGAGGACAAGCAGCATCAATTGCCAACAAGATGTGATTGCATTCAGAGAATACAGTAATGCATCCAATAATGAAATTTCCTTCCCCCCCCCCCCCCAAAATAAACCAACACTCTGGATTCCCTCCCATCTCCTTTCTGCTTCTACCATGCACATTTCTATGAAATATTAATGAGATCCATCACCTTTCTGGTCATGAAGAGCACATCAGAGATGTAAAGAAATGCTAACCAAGTTACAGTGGGGCCAAATAATATTACAGCTTAACTTTCAGAAACTACTGCCCAAATTTGAGGTTGGGCAATTCTTTTGAAAATGAGAATAAAATGCAGGCTTCAAGGTAATAAACATATGTCAGACAAAGGCATGCTAGAGTCTGATTGGTTGGAAAACTATATAATATAACTTAGCAATTGATAAGCTGTTAGAAAGGCAGGGGATACACAGAAACAAAGCAAACACAACATGCCAAGATTTATAGCCATGCAGCACAGTTCTGTGCAGCATATTATAGAAGCAAACATTCAAGCTTCAATGAAAGGTATAGGAATGAAAAAAAAATTGCAGAAAAACTCCCCAGATATTACCTGCAGGTTCTCCATCTCGATTTGACGCTTGAGTTCAGACAGGCTGCTTTCAACTGAAGTCCTCTATAAACAAGCAAAACAAACATGAACTAAAACCATTCACTATCTTTCTAGCTGGTCCAAGCAACCACACAGGTTTTGGTAGTGCGTAGATCCATAGAAGTACGTTTGAGGACCGTGAGGGTCTGAAGTGCCTGGTTCACATTAGGGTGCTAAGCTAACAATCATTCCAAACAGTTCATCTATGGAATGCTACTTTTCCATTCCTGTGCAAAACAGATGCAGACAGCATGCATATCTCTCTTTCTATTTTTCTATGTTCTCTCAATGACTTCTTCTAGAGCTATATAGCAGCAATGATACTATCACTAAGGAATAAGTTCAAAATACTGGCACTGAATAATGAAAACTAAATACTAGTGAAATGCAATGACTGCCAAATTTCAAGAATATCTTTTTTGTTTTTTGTTTAAAGAAACAGGTGACATAACTTCCAGTACCACTTGCTTCAGTAAATTCCATGAAAAAATTTTTACATTAGAACACTCAGTAAAGCCCCCAAAAGTTTTCCTAAGATTTCAAAATATGACTGATATAGTTCATATTAAGCAACTTTGGAGGCCAGTATATTTTCTAGACTCTTCTGGCAGATTTATTGTTAAAATTGAAGAGCAGACCAAGACCCAAATGAGGTGCCTCTATCTAGTTGTGCCTTTCCCTCAGATTACATCCTGGTAGACAAAGCAGGACCTATGTCAAGCCTGCACTGCCTGGAAAAAATTTTTAAATGTACCAAAAAAAAAATTTAAATAGGGTACAAAATGTAACTCTTTTGACCAAAAACAGAGCATAATGTATTCCCACAGGGAGTCTCATCCTGACAAGAGGAAACATTGATCAAATTATGAAAATATTTTTGCCTTCTGAATAAACACAGCACTAGAAATTTGCATGGAATCTTCACATGAGAGCAGCATCAAGTATTTCAACAAGAATTACATTTCACAGGAAAAGTTAGCTCATTTGTTCTAAGATATTTTGATTGACTTTAGCCAGCAAGGAGTACCTACTGTAAAACCATTTTGTTTTGCTGTTTCATTTGTAGGACTATGTATCTTTCCTCGTTTTCACAAAATCAGAAATGAGATATTTTCCTAGAAGGCTTGAGCAAAGTCACCAAATGGGTTAGGAGGGAGTGAGAAACAAACAAAAACCAGTAACCTGGGAGTCTAAGTCATCCAATTTCTTCTGGGCAGCTTCCTTCTGACTTTCCAGCTGCTTCAATGTCAAAGACAATGTTTCCAGTTCCCCCTAAAACATTGGAATGAGAAGATTGTAAAGCATTTCCCTTTGAATGATCCTTAGACTGGAAGATAGATAAGACTCTGGCATACTTGGAGAGCATGAATTTCCATTTCCCTGGATCTAAGTTCTGCTTCTTTCTCCATCACACTTGATTCCAGTTGAATCTTCTCTGAGGCCAATTCTTCAATCTCTTTGCTAAGCATGGCCAGCTCTGGATTTGTATACTGGGTCACTTCCTGGTTCACACAAAAAGTTCATACCTTTCTCATCATGGAAAACAAAGCAAGCATATGTCATCTTCAATACACATATTCCACATCCTCAGATGAGATTTTCAGTCATACAATTTTCTGTATTCTTCCATCTTGACTTCAAATTTCCCAATTCTTGAATATTCATGGGATGAAATACAGTTACAAAAGATTCTTAGTTCACATAATCTCCTATTGCACTGAAGCATAAAAGAGGCAAAACAGACAGATCATACATCAGGAATCTAAGGACTAATGTGAGAGAACAGTAACAAATAGGAAGTACAGGAAACTGTTAGCATACCTTCCCCTTCTGCATATAAAATAGTGGGAACAAGATGACAACTTGGCATAGGGATTTTGCAGTTTTGTCCTAGCATCAATGTCAAGGTGAAAGATCCCTTTAATAATGATCACTGACTTGAGCATATAGGATATTCTAAGGATGGGATCAATGGAGTTATTATAGCAGGCCAAATGCTTGAGAAATGCTTCCAGAATGACTGAAAACTTCGCTCAAACAACTTGATGCATCTGTCTATAATATTCAAATATCCTTACAAATATTGAAAAGAACTCATAAGGAAATTATTTACAATCCCACCCCATTCTCATGAGTTAGTTAACAATCAACCTTATCTTAGGCTTTCCTATTATTCCTCACTAAAAAACTTCTTGTAGAGTAGAGAACTTCTTTGGTCACAAGCTGAAACTGGAATCAATTCAACTCAAGAATAGATTTAGCATTCAAGGAATGCTTCCCTGATAGAAATAATGTGACTCTTGCTTGAACTCCATCCATACATCCTTCATACCCAATCCCTACCACTTTTCCTTTCCTTTTACTTATTACCAATGACAGGCTACAACTTAGAATCCTGCATAATCCAGACACTTGCATTTCTGACAAACCAAATTCTGGCACTTCCAGATGAGAGTTGTGGGACTGCTCAAGGTCTTATTTCTCACGAGGATGAGCAGGGAAACGCACAAGATTGGGATGGACATGCAACTTCAGGGAGAACATTTCCAAGATAACAAAACAAAAGCAAAGAACCAGGCAGTGTGGGATGAACATTACAAATGCCTACAAGAGAAGAAGGAGACGTGGTCCAAATTGGGTCAAATTCTTCCCAAGGCACACCTCGTACATCAGGGAGATGCCCTAACGTGATAAGTCTTTCTTTCTAATCTTCTAAATATTGCGACACGATGACCACGACCACTATCAATCACACAAACCACATAGATTCTAAAAACATGGCTAGCCAGGAAGAAAGTCTGAACTTGTTGAACAACATGGAATGGAAATAGTGTGGTAGACTCCCCAACTCTAGATTTTCTCCTCTTATCAGCTCTTAACTCTGTTGACCCATGAGAGTTCTGTGGTTTATAGGAAATCAGCAGATACTTGTGATAGAGTATCTTTTATCTCTGTTATCATAAACAGAGAAGCATGAGAACTTGGGAGAATATGGCTGATGGAAGGAACTTTGCAGGCTCTCTTGTGACGTGTGCCAAAAACCCGGAGAAGATGGAAAAGCAGTTCAGTGGACAAGTATTCTACTTGTGGACCACCAAAAGAAAACTGTAGACCACATACATACTGCGAACTTCATACTCCTTCCATCTTTGGACCTAAGAATCTACAACCTCCTGGTGGAGGATTCAGGACGTTACTTCTGTATCTACCAAGGCAACATTGCAGCTGTGCACATTCTGGATGTCATTAAAAATGAACCTCTTGAGGTTAGGCACCATTTTCAGATGTTGAAAATTTTCAGCACATTTCCTGGACATCACAGTTGAATGTAACTCTGCCTTAAGGTGGGTGATGGAGGAATACATCGTCCTCAACCACAAAATGACACCATCTTGCCAGACGAAAATCTTCTAATTTACACTAAATGGGAGCCATGGTCCCCATGCAATCGATGCAACTTGGTTGGGATGCGCCACACCATCGGGATATGTTACGTCACTCTCATGAATCTCACCAACCTTAAACAGCTGCATCAGACAGAACTAGTCCTGTATGCAGACTCAGGAGGCCTTCCATGTCATAGTTCCTTCCTTCCTCGTGACCTGGCAAATTTGCCACAAGTCCGGGATAGGCCCAATGAACGCCTGATTGGATTCTGCGAGGTTTTCCCCTTTGCAAAATAATAGTAGTCCACAAAATATTGTCATAAAGATGCACAAAACTAAATGGACTTTGCAGGAACGCTGCAGGGACATAAAGGAACCTGATACTGTGGAATTTCGTGATGAGCAAGGCACAGTCATTGAGCAAGTGAGAAAATTCTCAAAGGAGAATTGGAAGAGACTCATTTCATCCCTTCCACCCAGCCCTGCAAGGAAGATAGTCACCAAGAAATGGGGAGAGAGCATCAAGTACCATTGTGATGGGTGAGAAAAACTCCATTTTGGCAAAGAAAATGTATCAATATTACTCAAACTCATAAACTTCTGAAAATATATAGAGCTGACCCTGGGAGACCTGTGAAGTGGCAGAAGAATACGACTATTCTCTTCCCACTGAAAGTCCGGCGGTGGACTAGAGGTAGAATCTTTATCCATCATAAATATCTTCACCTCCTACATCTTCGTTTTCGTGATCAGGGTGTATACAGGTGAATTTCCTTTTGTATAAGATAATTTTCAAAATGAAAACTGCAGAATATTCCTTGATCCAGTTATTATCCTTGAACCAAACAGTTGCTGGCAAGATGGCATGCTATTGGGAAGCCTGACCCTACATGTGAAGGAACATGGTCATCACCACTTGGATGAATTCCTGACAGTGCTTGGGATCATGATTGCATTGGCAGTTCTCCTGGGCATCATCTGTTCCTATTTCTATCATCATGTCACCCCATAGCTCCCCCATAAGGAAAAGACTGTATGACTCACAGGGAGATGAGAGGAATCACTTGATTTGCTACGACATGAAGGAGGGATCATTTCTGCAGAGAGAGTGGCTGGTGGTGGAGTCCCAGTCAGTTGTCGATTCACCAACCACATTGCCAATGCAAACTGATCCTCTGATAGCTTTCCAATCTCATCCATGTCACAGAGGTTCCTTATTGAAATATCATAATAAATACAATTTGAATTGAAATAAAGCTGAGGTTCATTTGATAATGACAATGAAAACATTTTACAGGCTTGATCTATACATGATTACGGCCACAGCAAATTTAGATGATGAGCAAGGGACAGAGGTACAAAGAGAAAGAAAGAAATGCAAAAATTGGACTTACCAGATATGAGCAAGGATGTTCTGTGGGACACCAGACTGAAGGAAGACACCTTTGATCTCCTGTCCAGAGACAAAGCCATCCTTGTCTGTGTCACTGGCCTTGAACAGCACACTGTAACGTTCTCTTTCTTCCTTGGTCACAACCCAGGCAGATTCTGAAGTTGGCACTGCATTCAACTGAAATTATTCATACATTCTGTGAGGCATTTCAGAAAAGGATGCAATGAATACATAAAATAAGAGATACTATAAAGCCAAAACCCCTCCATAAAAAGACAAAGAAGCATAAGGTATTATGCCCCAAAGGGCAAGGAAATGAGGTTTTGGAGGATGAGAGTTTCCTTTGAAAACCTCCATCATCTGCTGCATTCCTGACATATTCACTCAATACCTTAACCCTAGCACTATCAGAATCCAGATGGGCAAATACTTAACCCTTTGTTCCATCTCTTCATTCCCAAAGAATCTTCAAAATACTTTGCCTAATTACTATCACATGTCTTTATGAAAATGCATGGAATATTTGACTTCAAAACATTAAACTATGAAATAGCTACACTTACATAAGGCATTCAAAAGCAAACCATGACATCCCTTGGAAGTAATCCTTACACCTCAATTTCTTACGTGAAAATGTTATGAGCTTGCAATGACACAGGATTGTCATTTCATTTATATCAAAGTCACGAAGGAAAATAATTGCAATTTATTATTTTCTCATATCATCCTTACATCACCTAAAACATATGAAATGCTGGTGAAGTCATAAAAAAGCATTTGCAAAAGCTGCAGGCCAATGGTATGAAATCAATCCAACTCAATATACTATGCTGATCTGAATATTAGAGGTCCTTGAATACAAAACTACCTCCAAAAATGTTGGTTTCAAGTTTGCTTTCATCAATTCTACAGAAGTGACTTGAACAGAGTAATTGAGCCAGACTTATTTATTTTCATACAGTGAGCACTATAGGCATATGCAAGTCTACTAATGAGGAAAACATCATGTATCACATAAAGATCAAAATAGAACACATCTATGGTCATATGACAGGTTGATGAGAGCCAGCTTTTATACAAGTGATGGTGAGTCATGAGAAGGCAGCTTCTGAACCTTCTGCAGTGACTGTTATCTCCCTCCCAGTGTTTCCTGCATACTCTTTAAGCTCTATTTCCAGGAGACTCGCTGATACTCAGCTATGGTGTTACTGCCTCTACAGTTTCTTGGCATGGTAGGTATAACAAGCAAGCAAACAACTCACTCCAGACAGGAGGTCAGGTGCAACAGATGTGGGAAGATGAGGTTGGGTAATAGCTGAGGATGAAGAAGACAAGGGTGGAGAAAAAGAAACAGGGATGACTGGATTGGATACTGAGGAAAAAGATGGGGTGGGGGGGAGAACCTGGACAGCCCCAGGTGGCAGCCGATTAGGTCTCCCTGGTGCTGTCTTCTCATTCATCAATTCCATTGGCAGTGAGGATGGAACTTTCACACCTTCCAATGCTTTGTAGACTAGATGCATTGCCTGTACACATGCAAAAAGAGCACATGTAACAATAGTTTTTACATCAGATATATTAATAATTCTGTTTTAAAGCCAATCGATGCAAATTGAGACACTCCGTCATTCAACTATATTATCAATGAACAAAAGGTTTTTCATCAAATCATGTACTTGAGCATAGTATTTGAGGGGGATACTTTTAACAGGTTGACTGCCACGAGGTGCACTGGTGCACCTCACTGAATGGGAAAATCAATAGGCCAGTATTGCTGTGGCGGTCAACATGTTAAAAAGCTCATGGGTAGGAATTTTTACTAAATAACTCACTTTGGGCATGTAAAAGTCAGAAATTCTGGGACTGTCTCAGTCAGCAGCCCAGGAAGATAGATGAAATCATAAGCAAGTGGAAGGTTAATATGGTAAATACAGAGTTCAAGCCACTCAAACATTAGGGCAGGGGCCAGAAATAAGGATTCTGGTGCAATTAATGGTTACTTTTTTAAATCTTGATACAAATGACTGGAATGAAGACAAATGAGACAGTTGATATAAGGGTCCTATGGTCCTAGGTAGGTCAACTGAGTTAACCAGCCTGATGAGCTTTTAAGCCTACATCCATGTCAGTATCATTGACGTGATAAGTTCCAATGGCTCAACTCCATTTGTGGGAAGGTTCAAACTCTATCCTGTCCAGATTTTTTTCAATGAATACAATTAAGATGCTTCACCAATTTTCACTTGGCATGAACACATTTTTATATGCTATAATTCAGCATTACATGAGCCATATTAGCCAAGTCTTACCTTGACTGCAGGAGAAAAAGATATTCAATGGTGGATTATATATATAAATCTTATTGATTGTAACTCAATTTTTTTACTTTCTTTCCACTGGTCCTTGATTATAAAAGGTTCTAGTGATACTGACAAGCATTTTTTGTTATCCAATCTCAAGGGATTAATGATGAGCCATGTAGCAAGCCCATTTGTCAAGCCCAGTGGGCAGGAGTCATCATTCCTCAAGGGATAATCCAAGATCTTATCACACTTTATTTTTTTTTCTTGCTGTACATTGATAAGACAATGAAAACAAACAAATTCATAAAATAGTGCAGCAAAAAAATTATTGCAGGAACAAGCTGTGGTCATCACTGTCCAACAATTTCTGACTCTGCTACCAATGAAAGGAATGGCCAGACAATAATATAGCAATTACAGAAAAATAAAGTCTTCGTCCTCTTCAATCTTTGTCCATTTTTGTTCAACCTCCTCTAGCAAGAGGACAGTGATCAGTACCCAGCAGCTGACCATCTTTACTTTCAAAGAGTGTTTCTTGACAGTTAAGCATTTTAACACAAAATTTATATATGAAAAATAAAAGCCACACCTTCTCATATATATGTCACCAATCTAGCACAGACAATGCCACTATCAAATGAATGAATATGGAACTCAATAATAAGAAATTGCAAGAATCAAGTAACCTAATACTCCAAGTGCAGCAAAAGTCTCCCCTCAATTCAATCAACTCATGTAAGAGGACAAAATCTTGAAAGTGCTGCTAGAACTATTCTGCCATGAGATATTTTGTGGCTGAAGCATTACCAGGACAGAAGAATGCAACTCACAATATGGAATTCATGCCTATCCAGGAACCCATCTTTGTCAATATCTGAGAGCTCCCAGATCTTTCCAAGAAGATCAACAGGGAGTTTGGAGTTCACCATAATGGGCTTCACCTGGGATGAAGGAACAGGATTGCAAGTTCAGTCACCTCAGTTACAGATTGCAGGACATCAAGTCAGGCTCTTTCACCCCTGAAATTTCTGTTCAATGTACACTATCTACTGCATGCAAAACTCCTCAGAACTTATAGATGAGGGCATTCCACTCATAAAAGTAGAAAACACAAAAGTATATAACCAAAATACATAGAATAATTGGTTTCATGAAGCATAAGTTGATGAATTGACAGACTTTCATGGGCTTCATAGATGGCTAAGGAGCTATGAAAAGAAGCCTAGAACTGTTTATATAAGCTCATGGCAGCAAAATAACAATTTGGTACAGAGCAGAATCTATAATTCCTCTTGCAAGGGTTAAACTTCTGTCCCTTACAATTTCAGAATTGTGGTGTGCAGGAAAAGGCCCATCTGCTAAGAAACCATGAAGGGATAAATGTAATACAATGCAATTTTTCAAGTGAACCTGATAAAAACATCTCAGCTTGAGGGGTTAATTTCCAAACCCATGCCTAATGAAAGATTTCCATTGCTCACTCACCTTTGCCCCAGGTATTTTGTTGTCGACTGGCGACAGTGAGTCAAAAAGTTGGTCATATTTGGTTTTCTCACTGGGACGAATGATCCATGGAGTGCTAGAGTTCATCATCATACTTATTGCTGGAGCTGGTGTTTCTCCCTAACCGAAGAAATACCAAGTATGAATTTGTTTCACTGAAATAAACTCCAAATAAAAAACCTGTGATTGTGAAAATTTTCCTCACCATATCAGGCGGAGGAGTGTCCAGGAGTGCATTGGATATTGCAATTTCTCTTCCATTTTGATGAAGGGAAATGAGTTTGAGAGCCATAAAGAACCCAGCCTTGTCTAGGTAGCCCTTTGCACCTTCATCAGCCAAGTCCCAGATCTATCAGATTCAAGCACAGTGCATAAATAAGCTAACATGGTAATAAGACAACAAAACTTACTTGTACTTTCATAAAGACAGAGACCGTTCATTCTGCAAAGCCATTGAAGGAAAACTGCTTTTACTTACCTTCCCTAGAATATTGGCATTCAGTTTTGATTTCTTAAGGAAATTTGCTGCCTCAAGAGCACCCACACGACCAGTATTGGCAGGATCCAGCTATAAGGATGGAAGAAAGAGTGCTATTGAAAGGCAAAGCTTACACCCACTCTACCCAAATATATGAGGTAACAGGATGGTGAACCTTCTCCAGGTTTTCCACTTCTAATCCTAAATCCATACTAGATACGATGTTGAATTTCAGGTCAACATGCCCTGGGAATGTGAAACTTATGAATTGTTTTCTTCCTGCTGTCTAAATACAGTGTCAGATATGGTGCTGTCAGTTCTGAGAGATGAAAGATTCAAGTGATAGACTTAGAGCTTTATGAGGAATCTAGTCTGAATGTTAGAAATAAATATGGGAATACCACCACCAACAGCCATGAACACAAGCTGGGAAATGGAAGTTAAGTCCAACTTAAATTTAATCACTGTTACAACTCTGTTACAATCCTGACCCTACAAACTCTTAATTGAAGCCAGACCTATGCCAAGGAAAGAAGAGGAAACAGAATTAGAAATCCATCTCATAACTTTGGAACTTTTACTTCATCATAATTACTTCTTGCTACATAAGACAAGGGTTTTGCCAAAGTTGGAGACCTTGGAAACAGTTTCCCAAGGTTTCCTTCCAAGGTTTCAAATATTTACCACCATTAAGTAATTGAGCCATAACTTTCTCATGGTTCCAGCGAAGAAACAAAAGTTGTGTCCAGGGAAGAAAAAGAAGGAAAATCACCTTTCAAGAATTTCAGCCTCCTTGATATGAGAAAGTGAATGATACAGGACAGTAGCATATTGGGCAGTAATTGAATAACAATAATTTGAAAAATGCTTGTTAAACACTTATAGCAATTCATTTTTTCATTTCAAGCAATCCAATCAGCAAAAATTTAGTATTTTAATTTTTAAATACTCCAAGACAAGTATTGCATATTTGCATGTGCTGATGAAAATTCAAAATGCTAAAAGAAACTTGTATTTCCAAATGTAATTGAAAGTGGTAAGTACTTTAACAATTTTGAATTTTCATCTGCACATATGAAACATGAAATGCTTATCTCATAGGATTATAAAAACCAATATTAAATATATAATTGGTACATTGGTTGAACTGCAAAATAAAAAATGCTAAATTTGTTTAAAAAACCATTTTCAAATAATTGTATTTCAGTTACTGCCCAACACATGGCAAGAAAATCCCAATGGGAGGGTTGACACCTGAAAAATTGTTAACCCACCCAGCATATATGATCAAAGTTAAAAATAAAATTTTGAGGATCAAACCTGTAAAACATATCCAAAATGAGCATGCAACTGACGCAGGTTAGAATAACAAACCAGATGCTTAATCAGACCATGCAAAGTGACTTATGTGAGACCTCAAGAAAGAGGTTACACTTTTAGATTCAAGGCAAATTGAGGCTCACAAAAGCATCTAGGCACCAAAATAAACCCTAAAGAAATACTGCACCTATATGCAGGAAAGAATTAGCCCAACATTGGGTCTTAAGACATACCTGATGGTAGAAGGCTTCATAAACATTGTGATGACTCCCAGCCACCTATTTAACAATATACATATCTCAATGTCCAGGTTCAATGACTATAACCTTTTCAAAGGCTTATCAAACAGCATGTTTATCATAAGCTCAACCCCAATCTAAGGATTAGGCCTAACGCACCTTCTTGGAATCTGGAAGAACCATTTTTGTGCCGATCTGATAGGCCTGAGGTAGGGCTTTGAAAATCCCTCAGGGTTCCCTGCAAGTTGGGTTGATCTCACGATGTGACAGGTACTGACCCGAATTCAATCACTCACTTGCAAACTCAAACTATGCCGAGAGCATGGTAGGGCTAGGCCTATACAGGCCTAGCTCATCATCTGCGGCAACTGTCAAGAGAATAAAGACTGTTTACTCAATGTAGGCCTTGGTTATAGATCTAGCGGCATAAGCAAATGAACTCGAACTAGGAATGAGAGTAGCCTGCGCTCGGTCTACCATTTGCTTAGGGCCTATTCCCAAGTTACACGGCGAACAGATGGCCAGATATGTTAGGATGAAGGCAGTACGTCTAGACTCAAAACTTAAGACACTCGAGTGTCACTCTTCTGAAGCTTGGCATATCACAGACCCCCGCGCCCGAAGAAGGTGAAGTGGGGGACGGGGTACTCGATGGACGAAACCAGGGAGTGACCATGTTTCTTTTCCGGCGTCGAAGCGAAAGGGATCGCGCCTGCGTCCCCCTTCATCACGTCTATATTCCCCCCCGTATCTCGTCTCGGCAACGAAAACGAAACGTCGAAGCAAAACCGACAGGACAAGACGAAGGCGTGGGTGGAGTGACAATCATTTCGGGGAATTTACACGATGCATGTCGGATGGGACCGAGCCCAGCTGCTCCCTTCCCGATCCCACGGGATTTCCAGAAACTCTCTCTTCACTTTGAATCCAATTGCCTCGTGAGGGATTTCTTATGCATAAAGAGGAATTCCGCATAAGAGCATTTGTATTTTATGTCCCGGCAAGGCTAGAAATAATGCAGGAGGAATGCCTCTCCTCTCCGCTCCGTCCTTTTTTTATGGGATAAAACTTCGAATGGAAGCGAAAATTGGCTTCCGCAACGTTTCGTCCGAGCTCGAAACGTTCCTGACTTCATCCCGTGAAAAATCCTCAATTCGGCCCTCACTAACGAACGAAGCATTCCACGAACGCATCGCTCACCGAGGCAGAAGGGACACTCGACAGACCCACGAAGCAGATAAAAACAAAAGCAAAGAACCAGGCAGTGTGGGATGAACATTACAAATGCCTACAAGAGAAGAAGGAGACGTGGTCCAAATTGGGTCAAATTCTTCCCAAGGCACACCTCGTACATCAGGGAGATGCCC